GCGGCGCGCGGGGGCGGGGGGGAGCGCGGCGGGGCACGGGGCTGCCCGCGGCTGCGCTCGGGGGTCCGGTAGCCGTGGGAGCTGCCGGCGCCTGAGGGAGCGGGCTGGGCAGGCGGGGAGCGGCGAGGGGGAAGCGTGTCCAGCCCTCCCCTGACAGAAAATAGGGGTTTTCCTTCTCCTTCCTTCAGTCGGAGGTTGATGTTAGGGGTTGGAGCCTCCCCACAAAGTCCCTGTCCCGGGAAACTGCTCACCAGCGTCCGCATGCGTGTGGGGCGGTTTTGTCAGAATTAAGGTAGTTTTATGGGAGAATGTTTTCCCGTTCTCACCGCAAGTGAGGCATTCCTGAGAGAAGCCTTGAAGCTGATCGCGGGAGAAAAAAATTTCCAAAACACAGATGCCTCAAGCATGAGAAAAGCAAGAGCAAGGAGCCCAAAGGCTCATGGGGATGCTGAGAGAACACAGGACGTGTGCAGCCGACAGGAACGTAAATTAATTTTGAGCGTTTGCCATGGTACTGCAAGCTGGCTGCATGTGGTTTGTTTCAATCAGTGAAGTCTGGAAGATGGACCGCTTCTCCCAGGCCGTGTTAGGTTAAATATTTGAGACAAGGCATACTAGGAAGTACTCCGGAATAGCTCGTGATAAGGGGGAAGACAGCCGTCATTGCACAATTTGCGGGCTGTCGCTGAGGAGGATCTAGAGTCTCACGATGTCGTAACACCGTTGCCTCATCAGGCACATGCTATTGCCATCTGCACACCACCCACGTCGATTGCTTATGTGTGAAAAAATACAAAGTCTTAATGAAAAGCCACTAAAGTTTATCCCAACTGATAACTGTTCCATTGCTCACACCTGTTTGTTCATAGGAAGGTAATTCAACTTAATGAATTCTGCAATGAAAGAAAGAGAAACAAGTCCACATGATCTTGTTTTCTCCATGACCTACACACATGCATATGTGCATTTGCCGGAGCTTAGCGAGCACTAAGAACAGCCATGTCTGCAACTTAAATCTACTAAGTATTTTCTGTTTGTGTGGCACAAAATATGCACTGAGATGTTGGCAGTCTGCTTCTGGAGCAAAGAATTAATACGGAATGGTTATCACAATTAATATAAAGACAAAGTAAAAGGTGACATTTCAATATTTTATTCAAGTTGGGTTTGGGTTTTTTATCCATTTTTAGTAGTGTCAAGTACAGCATTTTGGGGTCTAGTTCCACACAAAATGGAAGACTCTCTAAAAATGTACCCATTTAGTTGCTAAAAAAAAGTGGTAATAAAACAAAAGTCCATTTTAAATTTAGTGATGCAACTATGTGATTGCAGTTACAAAGACTCTTCCCTGATTATGGCCCTGTCTTACAAGCTTTCCAGTCAATGCAAGGGAAAGGAACCACAACACAGGACAGGTAGTATTGGCTGAGTCACATCAAACATCCTCTGCAACGGACTTATACAAGGTGGACAACCTAAACCATTCTGGAGACAGCTGTAGGTGTAAGATAACCAGATCAGATAAACCATTCATGAAATACCTATCTAAATAAAAATTTTTTAAAATCCCTTTTTCAGACAAGTTTGCACATTCCATCGTGAATTGAAACCTTAAGTGTCGGAACATTTTGCTTGCAGAATTAACAGTACAATATAGTGGTCTGCGATTCTTAAATGTCTCGAGTTTTTATACCACATCAATATATTCCTTGTGCAGTCGACACGTTAGTAAAGGTAATCAATACCTTCCTACTTCCTATCATGTGGCAGCTGACAGATGTGATGGGCAATAACATTAAAAAAAAAAAGCCTGGAATTAGGGGGGGGGGGTTATGCTTTTGTCTCCATTTCTGTAACAACATCATTTTTAAAGCTTAGCTGTCTTTAACCAGGACTAGCAGGACTGATACTTAGCAATACTTGCATCCCAGACATAAAACATTGAAAGGTACACTATATTCTGAAGGTAGCTATGCTGTATTTTCAAATTAGTGATTGTAGAATCACTCCTTATGCTTCAAATTCCAATCCTAGACCAAGTTTGTGACCACCTGCGTTGACGTTCTTGCCATCCAACAAAGCTGACAATGTCAGTTTGATACCTGCAAAATAGAGAAAAGTGAGAGAAGAGACCAACTGTTAAAACTTGGAATGAGGTTTACGTTCAGTGCGTCTGTGTTACTGCTTTAATTTGGGCATCTAGGTTAACGTAATTTGGCAGCTAGCCTTGTAAGGACTGGGCATTTTAAAACAATTTGCAGATAAGAAATCTTTCTGAATTTTGAAAGTTACAGTAAACCACGGTGATAGATTCTGCTTTTTATCACTCCAAGTAATTAAAGCTCTGAGTCAGTTCACTGCTGCTGGTCTACTGATTAATCTAATTTTAGAGTCCGGTATTATGAAAAATTGGGACCTTGATACATACCCACCTTTCTAAACCACTTTAAAATCTAGGTGTGAAAAGGCCCTAGCCCTGTCTACTATAATATCTCATGTCAATCTGCTTGGTATTCTGGCAGCAGATTTATTAGACTACATTAAAACCAATTTCACAGCAGTAAGATTGTCCTCTTCCTGGACCAGGGGACTTTCAGAAAGTCACATTTTCAAGCAAAATAAACTCAGTAATAGGAAGCCTCTGAAAGTACTGAAAATGCATTTACTTGTCTGTGAAACACCTAATTGTAGATGTATTTTGTGTCAACATAAAAGTATCTGACTGGTCAGTGGAGGGCAGTCTGTAATAATTCTGCTTCCAATAGACATCCAAAATTAACAGAGCAGTCCCTGGAAAAGTTCATCACTGGCTTGCCAAGCAGAACAGCAGTCTTACAAAACCAATCACATTTTGTCACAAAAAGCCCTCAGATATTTCAAGATTAAAATACCACTTTATTGATTCTGAATTCCTTCTGCATAGACTTACCTGGCTTTAAAGTCTGAGTGTATCCTAATCCAATCAGACTGGAGTTGTTCACTTTAGCCTTAAAAGAAAAAAAATACCATATGTAAATAATTCAGTATATTTCTTCAAAGTCCTTCCTGCTTGAAAATTAAGTAATACCTTTTAAGCAGGTAAAGGATTTCATGTTTTAAATCATAAAAAACCCTAGAGTTAATTTTGCTGTAACTTAAATCCTAAATCTCAACAAATCTACAGTCACTATAGAAAATAATGTTTTTATTAACATAGTTTTTAACTTTTTCAAGACTGACACGAAAAAAAATCTCAGAATAGCACCCAATAATACGATAAAACTGTGTCATTCTGTGTCACTTCAAGGAAAATCCAATAGTTCTGCTCTCATGCTGCCAAACCCAAGACAAATGGATATATGCACCAACTATACAGCATAGGACTGCATCAAAACCGTACTTCACTGATATAAAGGTTGCTTCACATTTCCATTACAACAGCCTATTTTCAAATGCTTATAAATGTACATGCATAGCACTCACAGAAAAAGAGGCATCTGGGTCAATCTGATACTTGGCTGCTATTCCAAAGCGAGTGTTGCTATTACCGGCTGTCCAAGCAAGATTCACAGCAGTTTCCAGTTTATCATTCACCTTCTGGTAAATGGAGCCGCCAAATTCCGTTCCATCATTCCTGGAAGGAATGCATTAGTCTAGTTTTAAACTGCACCCCAAAACAGTCATCTTTTTTTTCCAGTAAGACCTACATTTGTAGAACATTCACTCACACCTCATTTAACATCCCTATAACAACTAAGATAGAGACATTAGGCCAGACTGGTTCTGAAATCGTTTTTAAATGCTTAAATTCATTGACAGTTACTATATTTCAACAAACAACTTAGGAAACTGAAAAAAAAGCCATTACAATCTATCAGAAATAGACAATGATGACAACTTCCAATTTTCCCTTCCCTCTAGATGGGAGTCTTTGTAGTAAAGAGATTTATTCTTCTCTGCGTATCTCTGAAATAATTATTGTCTCAGGCCTATGACTCCCTAGTGTGCCCCAATCACCAAACCTGAGCAGTCATCCTAACGCTGCCTTGTCAGCGTGCTTTTACCAGACACAGATGAACTGTATCGGAAGTGAAGATGCCAATTTAATATCCAAGGCTATCAGCTTTTGCAAGTGAATACCATTTGCAGTAGTCCTTACGGTACATCTGTACATAGATGTCTCTCCACTAGAAACTGAAATGAAACTAATTTTACTTTGCAGAGCACTGGCCAACAACTGAAGGATGACAGTCTTCTACCACCACTACAGAGTAGCACAACTTCCAATTACTACTGACACCAGCGTCACACAGGGAATAAAGCGTGGTAAATAAAATGCAAAACATTAGAGCATGCAGATCATAAAAACAAGAGCAAAAGACTTCTAAAAGCCTTGTACTCCTTGTAAACCAGTGAGCATCTGAATTTCCATTTTCACTCAATTTCTTAAAAGGGGATACAAGCGTATTGCACAAAATGGGCGTTAAACCACAGGAAAACCTCTGCAAATAAAACACTTATGATTACTTCTAAACTATGAAATAATCTGGTTCCAATTATTAGAGTATACCAAACCTCTAGTGATTAAAAAGGGGGAAATCTCTCCACTCTTACCCCCTTGGCCTGATGTTCCTGCTCATAACAATTGCACAAACAATTGCAGTGATATGCCTATTTAAAAGTTCAAGCAATAGCAGCAGCCTTTTAAATTGTTAGAGCAATTCTTCCAGAAAAACACTACAATACTTACTTCAGATAAGACTGAAGCTCACATATAACTGCATGTGCTTGGCTCTCAAGAAAAGGAGGGATTAAAAAGGACTGAGGAGAGCTGGTTATACAGGCAGATTTTGTGCAAGGTTCCCACACAGCTCTGTCTTGACCTGCAACATTAGGGGGGGGCGGTCTGAGCTATGCTTAAAAAATGAGGAAAGTCATATTTAAAACTAGAAATTATCCAGCCCTACCTCCCTTTAGTTATTATTAAAAAATAATAATAATTAAAAAGTCAACCCTCCTTTTAAGTCTAACAGAAATAATAACACTTTTCAGATGCAGATAAAAAAAACCACATTATCCCCCTATGAAAATGAATATATTAAGGCACCATTAAGGAAAGTAACTTGCTAAAGTCCCCAGCTGGTCTGTGAAACACCAGAAACAAAAGACGATGCTTCAAGCCCCACCTAGTTAAATTATCAGCTCTGCCACAGCGTCCCATGTGAAACACTGAACTGTCTAGAGATAACAACCGAGCAGGCTAGTGATGGGAGGTCCACACACAACCGTTTCTGGGACTATATAAAAACTCTGACACGTTTCAAAGCTGAAACACATCAAATACCTAAATAATCTATTAATATCAGCAAATCAGTTTTCTATTCATATCACACATTTATGGTTTTCCCTGTCAATTGGTAGAGTATGAATATTAAATAAACAAACTAGGCATCCTCCTGAAGCTGATCTATCATCCACATACAGTAACAGCAACCTAAGAAACAGACCCTTAGGAATCCAAGAAACAGTACAGTAAGATCTGAGCCCCTTCTGCTCTTATAAAGTTATCTTCTGCTGTTGCTTTAATTAAGAGTAATAATAATTACAGCATTTTATAGCAAAAGCCAATAATACAATGTTTTGAACTGCTACAGTATGACAAAGTTGAAAGTCATTGTGCTTGAAGGAGTAACTCCTATCTACTGAGCAGAGGGGGACCCCGCGTATTGCTTTGATTAAAGTTTTCTGCCCACATTTTTGTGCTTTGGCAATCCTTCAAACATACTGTCTGGGCTGTGAAGGTTCAATTGTTCTGTAAGGCAGTGTGAGCTTCCTAAATCAGATCTCTGCAACACAGCATGAAACAGAACAGAAAGCCTTTGAAGAAGCAGCTCCAGGAAGGCAGAACAGTTGTTCAGCCCCCAAAATGGGAACAGCCTGCAATAGCTCTGCTACATGCAAAATATCCAATTACCCAAGGGAATGCTAAAGGGGGGGCTGGGGGAATGGATTAGGGATTGCCTAATCTTAAAAAAATGTCTTCCCCAAAGGCATAAATTGCTTTTTTAAGAGGAACAGGAGACAGAGAAATTAAGGTTTTCATGGAATTTGGTCCTGGTTTCCCACTATTCATGCATTCAGAAAGGACAAATGCTTGTATGAATAGATTATTAGGAGATATACTACTAAAACAAATTTTTGCACCATATCCCTTTCAGTACTAAAACAAACCCAGTCCATATCTCCACCCATTTGTTCCCTTTTGCCTGCTCTTGTTCATCCTGATTAGCTCTTTCATCTACAGATCAAATCACCATTTGGTTTGATTTTGACATGTGCAAAAGGAAGACATTGCTTTTATTTCAACTTTCACAAAGAGTATTTTTATAACCCACTTGTTTTATTATTCCGCTAATAGATTCTAATAATCCGTATCTGTTAGAAAGACAGACACTGGATGCTTAGGTGCTCAGTGAGTTCCAGTTCCTTCCATCATGCACTCCCTCACCCACATAATTCAAAGAAAAGTTAATGCAGCTAAAAAAATGCAGTTTGCCATCTTAAACGAAGAAGTAATTTCAACTATACCATTCCCTCTTTCACCACTGCTGAAACTCTGTCCCTTTCATTGCTCTAGTAAGCAGCAAAATCCTTTCAAATTCCTTTTTAATGCCTGTCTGCCAATACTTACACATTAGTATGAAGCTGGAATTCATCAGTCTTGTAGCCAACAGCAAAGTTGCTCTGGGTTACTCTAGACTTCGTTGTCTCAAAAGTCATTTGGTAACCTGCCAGCCACCCCTCGTAGCCAACCACCAGGGCTCCACGTATTGAAGGACCAGCAATATCAAAATCCATGTCGCAGCCAATGTTGATGTGTTCCCTTTTGTACCCTGTCTTAACTTTAGCGCTCTTCTTCCTAAAGAGAAAAGAAAGAATCTCGTACCTTTGAAAAAGTACGCTCGTAGGTAGCAATTCAATCAAATCAGTTACTTTAACTCAGTTCAATAGTTCTTGAAGACAAAGTATACATACCTGGAGAGCCACATGTTATGTCATCTTCTTACCTTTCACATCTGCAAAACCCTAATTCAGCTACAGTGAATTATTTGCAATCAAGCAATAAAATGCAGTGTGGCACCCCAATAAGCACTTCTGGGCTGTGTTCTGAAAAGCAGCAGCACAATAAGCCAGACAGGAGGTGACAAAACCAAATCCTCATCCAACTAATCTGATGTTTTTGGAAGTTTGGTAGATGCAGGGAAGGAATGGGAAATGTAGCAGTTTACAGGTTTGCCACAGAAAGTCAATAGTAGTTGGCCTGTCTCAAACAAACAATTTTTAGACAATCCTAGTGAACTGGGTAATTTCATTTACTGTGACAGACGTCAAGAAATCACTACTTTGTCTCCAGCTTCCTGAGGGAAAGTCTCTGCTGCTAAGGAAGTAGGTTGCTTCAGTGGCTCTGACACCTTTTTTTCTCCTTTGGATGCTTTATGAAGTTTAATGGTTACAGCCATTAGAAAGGCTGCCAGGTAACACAGAAATAAACTTTCTCGAGTCACTTGTTTATTTTTATATTACTGGCCAGAGCAGTGTTTTCTCATGTGTCCTTAGATTGGTTTACATCAAGGGTGCTGACCCTCACAAGGCACGAGAGTTACATCTAATATATTCAGCTACTCTTACTTAAGATTTTTTTCTTCTCTTTTTACCTTACAAGCGTTTTCTGTCTTTGACCAAATCTTTTACTGATATCTTCCTGGAAAAGTCAGGCTAATTTGAAATTTCAAATCAACCTTTCACTTCAGCTAGCAAAAACATTCTCCAAGAACTGTTTCAATGCTGTATCAGACCCACATAGAGATTGCTCTCTTTTTTATTATGATTATTTCAGACTCAGGAATTTCTTGTGTTTTGCAAAATCAGAAATAAAGAGCAGGAGTGCCAAAAGCACTCAGCATTAGTTCATCTGCAACTTCTGTAAAAGTCAGCGGTACCTCTCCCACCAAAGTCAACAGGACAGGCTAACACGGAGCACTCCTAAAAATGACTTTCCCTGTTGAAAGATTCATCACAGCCAGTAAGTAAGGAAGGGGGAGAAGGTGTCTTATATTCAGACATAATGCATCCCTGTCAACCTAAACCAGGTCACACCAGGATTGAATCTCACTCCATTTATTCAAGTTATAATAGTCCTCCCACACAACAGTTATAACTCAGATACTATAGTGTCTGAGGTGCCTAAGAAATAGCTATAGACCTGTAACTTGTCATTCTCGTACAGGTTTTTTCTTCTTTATTTAAGATTCCTACCAGCTAAGAAATAATTATCAACAAACACTAGAGATTATTCTGGTTAACAAATACAAAAATATCTACTTAATGCAGAATTGGGAATGGACTGGAAGCAGTTTACAATGCAGGACACAATCTAGAAGACAGGGTGAAACCTCCACTGGGACTGTAACCCCGGCAGCCTGCAGTGCAGTGTACTGCTCTGGGAAGCTAATGTGCAGAATATTTTGACTCACTGGCAGCACTGCTTACAAAAAGATAATCAGGGGAAAAAAATAAACCAACATCTAGACCTACAGCTGCTGCTTAATCCCTCTGGCCCACATAAAACGTGGCATCCAATCGCCGTGTCAGAAATACTCATCCACCAACAAGGCGTGCTGTGGCCAGCAAGAATTCAGATGATAAATTCAGCTTGGGAGAAGAGCCCAATTACTGTGTCGACCTATTAGAGCCATGGCCAACTGGCTCCTGGAGCTTGTTAAGCTTTGCATTACAGCTGACTTGTTTAGGGCTTTTATTCAGACAGTAGCTCATCCTCTGACATGGCCAGAAATACACAACAGGAGTGCAAACAAAACCTTTTCTTCCCACCCCAATTCTGACTATAATTTTCAAGTTACTGTATTTAAAAGTGTGCTTGCTGTAGCTTAGGATTAAAAAGGGATTGTTAATACTAAGATTTAAATCAGATGTACATGACTTCATCACACACAGGCTGATTATTAACTGTCTCGATATCTTAGGACAGAAGGAGTAAAGAAGCAAGACAGTATTCTGGAAAACTAAAATAAAAAAATGCCTTTTTTTGACACTCAAGCTTACTCACTTCTTACCCAGTGTTAGGAGAGAAGGAGGAGTCAAAGGTCAGCTTCAGGCCACGTGCAAGCTGAACAGAAAAGAATTTCACTGGTTGGATTCATAATTAGAGATTGTCGTAAGTTAATTTTTAAATTGCATCTTTTGAGCCAAAAATTACCTGATCTTCAAGAGTAATCTCAGTGCCTAGTGTGTTGTCGGTGTTCCACTTTTCCGTGAACATCAATCCATATTCCACCCATTTGTATTTTGTTTCCAAACTACCACTAACTTTGCTTGTTTCTGAGTTTGCCGAACCTGAGCTTGTAAATTCCTAAAAGGAAAAAAAAATTGTATATATACATTATATATATATATTTGCACGCAGGTAAATATTTATACTTGTAGAAGATATTAGTCATTATAATTTGGGATATTATTCAATACTGCAGACTTCTCAGAAGATTTAAGAACATGTTTGCTAGTCATTAATACCAACACACCCTGGCACCACAAAAAATTTCACTGTCAGGGAGAAAAAACACTGCATGCTAAGGGAATGGGTATCAGACAGGACTGCGGATAACCCATACCAGCAGCATAACACAGAATAAGGTGCTAGTCTGTACAAGGTGCATCTATGAATCAGCATGCAAGTCTGCAAATGCTTCGTAGATAGGGTCTAAAGATTAGCTCCAATACACAGTTGCATTGCAACTATACTTGTTTAGTGACTGCTAAGAAAAAGAGCGTGCAGCGCATTCAGAAACCAGCATATTTCTGCTCGTTCAATCCGGGAAGACAGAAGGGAAGCACTGACACTTCCTCCGAGCACAGGCCGTGGCGATGGCCTCAAATAGCAACACAATTTTCACAGTAAGCAATTAGCATGGCTGCAAAGGAGCCCTTCACTGTATCTTCTACTCTAATTTGTGCACAGTCTCGTATATTATACAAAAATTATAAATGCAGAGTAACTTGCAAGGTTATAATATATCTGAAAAATGGTAAGGGGAGGGTAAGGGATTCTACTTTTAAAAAGAAATATAGACTAAACACAAGAACACTGCAATGTTTTGGATTTCAATATCTTTCCAAACTCACCAGTCCATTTTCAGATTTTGTTTTCAAATCAAGTTTTATTAAGCCAAAACCTAGAAGATGAGTAAAAAGTATGAGTTATATATATGTTAATTTGAAAAACATTTCTGATTTATTTTGTAAAACTCCCTTCTAAATCTCCTGTGAACTATTAAAAAAATAAACCAAGGGTACAGTTATCAAACTATGTGTTTTTATGAAGCAGATTATGCACCGCGTACTCACTTCAGATAGCACTCAACTGATTGATTAATCCTACTGACCTCAGCAATATAATCAGGACCAAATTAGGTAATAATGTCTTTATTCATACTAAGCAGCAGCATTTTGTTCATAAGAAAACTACTGGCATCAATGATCCTATTCATCATACAAGGAAACAGTCAAAATACAACCCACAATTTTCTTTCAAAACAGAGAACAGTCCTACAGGCAACAGGAAGAATTTTGTCAAAAAAAAAGTAAGTTACCCTCCCTTTCTAGACAGCAAGGGCAATGTGAAGCTATGATGGAAAATTCTCTGGATTCTAATGGAAATTATTGGAATATTTATCAGAAAAAAAGTAATACAATCCCAACAGTTTCAGGAATCAGGTAGGCAGCAAAAGACCAAATTTATTTTGGCTTTATTTACCATATCCCTTGGTGAAAACATCTCTGGCGGATTTACCCAGATCAGCATAAGCAGGTGGAACAGCCATTTTCTGGGGGGGAAAAAAAAAAAAGAAAGGGGAAATTACAGTGTTCAGAAACTTATTTCATTCATTTACGCAACAAGAAACTTAAGCCCATTTCAGCCAGTTTTATTTTCGATCCACCACCTATCAGTTAAATACAGCCTGAAGAAAGTAGCTATAGCAAACAGTGTGATTTGATTTTGCTCATTAGCCAGCAGAAGCAATTACCATGCATTTGCCACCGAGGATGAGAAACAGGTTGCAGAACAAATATATATTAAAAAATATATATTAAATATATATTAATATATATTTTAAAAAAAGATAAACTGTCTATGCCTTTCCGAAGACTTCACTGTTGTTGTCTTATCAGTATAACTGCATGAATGAACAACTTCTTTTTTTTAAAACCATTTCTTGGAAACATTTTTCCTGTTACTTGCAACGGATCTATGCATTCTGATGCAAAGCATTAGGGCCCCAAGTCATCCACTCAGGAAATCTAACTAGGACAAGCATCTAGCATCAGGAGCATCTCTCTCCCCCTAATTCAGAGCAGCAAACGGATAGCACGTTAGCAAAATCGACAACTGGTCATTCTTCTGCTTCAGTTTTCTTTGACTTTGCTACTGCTGTTAATGGGTTAAGATGTCTCCTTAGACATTGACCTTTAAGTGTTTTTCTGTTCATCAACTGGGAAAAAAATGAGCTTGCTGAGAAAAATTAAGACTGAAGGGATGCTACACTGAGAAGTCAGGCAGTCAGGAGGGTAGGCACAACCCCACTTCAGCAGCCAAATGCCGCCTAGAGAGCTCTCTGCAAAGGCTGGAGCGAGGCACCAGCCCAACACTGTGGACACTGCAGGGGCAGCTTTCTCCATCACGTTTTGTTTGGTAAGGATGCCCACGTCGCCATGTAGGTCCTCACTTTCCCACCTTCAGCAGGCCCTGACCATTCTTAGTTCAGTGGCCTCCTGCAAGAGATGTGAATGCATCCCATTTTCTCTGCCACTGAGAAAACTGTCGCATCACATATGGAGGAGGAAATAGGATCCTGAGAGGAACAAACCAACCAAATCTACTTTCTTATCCAAGTACAGTAATTTGTTCTAGGGGAGCGAAGTCAAACAGTCTGAAATGGTGTACACCTTCTGTCTTTATAGACAAGATTTTGTAATTTTAAAAAAGCAAAGGAGATAAATCATACTTATAAAGCTGGTCCTCTCGATACCAGATGTTGCAATAAAATTCCATATTCCCAAACTTTCTGGTTATACAAAAGCAATAAGCAGTTTATTACACAAGCATGCAAATGTTTAAAAAAAATTGCCTGCCAATCCTTACTCCAGACTATTCAACGTTAGTAGAAAAGTATTCCTTTAAACCACAAACAAAACAGCTAGCTCTGAACATGAGGGGTGCTGTTAATAGGCTTTCTGGCTGTAGACTTGGATGCAGGTCTCTGGGCAAGCACACCACCCCACGAATATCAGATAGGGAGTTTCAGCAGTCACTCAGCACCTCAAGCACTCCATCCAACAAGTTGTTGCCTGTTAAAGCAGGATAGTGCTATTGCATAAATGAAGAATCCCTATCCTAGAGGGAACAAAACAGATCTGGTAGCTAAATAAAAGCAAAGTCTTCTCAGAACATATATAAAGTAGGATACAAGGGTGCATACTATGATGTAGCTTCAGTTGCAGAGACTACCTGGATGCATGTCATCTCTTTCCAGTTGTAGTTCAGTAATAGGACGCAGCCCCAAATGCATAAGCAGCTAAACAGTTAAATTTTAAAAAAGGAAAAAGAAAAAATCTATATTCCAAAGCAGTTTTAGCTGCTTCTATGAGACCTAAATGTGTGTCTCCATTTTTTTGTGCAAACATGAAAGCAGGGCTTTAATGTTTATATACAAAACCAGCCTTTAAAAAAGAAAAAAAAAACCATATGCACAAAAAAAAACCCAAACCAAGCATTAACAGATAGATTTCTTTAAGTAATTCCTCTGCTCCTTGTTAAAAGTCACTAGAAGCAGAGTACAATGCCCTGCTTGGAGATCATACCTTAAGGTCAGAGCTAAGGCAGCACTCAGGAGACGGGTGGCAGGATTCACTAAGGGCTGTACGTGTTCAGAAAGTGCTTCTTCCCTGCCAGAGCAACCCAGTCTCATGAGACCCTCTGATGGGTATTTCCATTTAGCATCATCAAAAATTAAAAATGTTAAAAATCCTACACTTGAAAATCAAATAAGCATTGGTTTGGAAGATAATGCACTGCTCTGCCAGCTGCACTTTGGAATCTACCAAATCTATTTTACCAACAGTCCCTTTGAGTCACTTCATAAAACCAAAATATTTTCTTGAAAACTGAATGCTGTGTGCTTTTGGTTTGGATTTTGTAGGTTATGTTTTTCCCTCCTCCAAGCCATGAAGCCAAGTTTTGCTCCCACTGGTGTTTGTGTATTTCTCCACTGGATGTGGTCAGGCTCGTCGTCTGGATGAGCTGTGACAGGCTGCTCCACTGCTGCAGTCTGGGCTGTGGCTGCAGGACAGTGGGAGACGTCGAGATCTCCACTTAGGCAATTACTATAATTAAGGGACAATATTGAAAGCCAAATCCCTGCCGGTCGTAAGGCAAATCATGTAATGCACCCAGAGCAAGGTGTTTAAAATTGCTGAGCGTGAAAAACACTACGAGCTAGGTACGTGGTAGTTAACCTTGCTGTTGTCAGCAAGAACAAAAATAATTATTTCTGTTTGCACTGACTAATCGGAAGCCTCTTTTTTAACAGATGGAAAACAAAACTGATTACATCCTGTGTGAGTGCAGGTTGTAAGACAAGCATGCTTAACAGGGATTCAAACTCTTAAAGGATCAAGGAATGGCCATGGCCAAGTGCCCTTGCTTTTCACCAGTGGGATTCCAGCACATTAACTCAGATTAGGTTAGAGCTGAAATGAATTCATTGCTTTTATCTGTGTCCAACCATGCAAATAGCTCAGAGTGACTGTGCACCTCAACTCCTGCACAAAGCAGGCCAAGTAGAATACATATAATGTGTTCTAAGTAGGAAAATATTTTTTCTTGAGTAGGAAATACCATAGCACGAGTCATGACTGAAGAAAATCTGAACTGAGGAGTTATCTCCAAGAGCTGCCGTGAGGACCACCGCCACGAGCGCCTGATTTATAACTGCCACAGGGAGAAAATAGGAAGCTTCCTCTGGAGCTGCAGGACCCAAGAGCCAGCCCTAGTGAAGATTTCATTAAAGACGAAGCACTTTCAGCAGGCCAAATCTGTGTATTTTCCAGTGTCACAGATGGCAAAGTTTTCATCCTACGATGCAGTTCTGGGCAATTAAATCAAAATCAGCCCAATAGGCAGCAAAACCCTGGGGTACCCTTGGCAAATGTAAGGACTGGCTGCAACCAAAGAAAAACTCATCTCTGCTTGATAACTCTCTTATGTGCTTCAGTTAAAGCTGCCCTACAGACTTACCAACTTTATGATATTTACCTGAGGGGGAATAGCAACCTAAAAATTTAAGATAAGAATAAAATTAATTATAAGAATAAAATTCCCATGAAGACAATGGGAATCTATTGGATTCAAGGCTAAGAAAATAAAAAGGTTGGATTTAACCTTACCCTAGCCACATTTTCCCCTCATAAATTTGAACTCTTGTACCATTTCTTGATGATAACAGTAGTTCTAAACATTTCAGGTCCCCGTCTCCACAAGCGGTACCCCTGAAAAGATAGTAAGCGCAGAGCTGATGCGTAACAGCTGCCAGGGACACATCCCACCTGCGTTGTGAGCTGAGAGGGACAGACAGCATCGGGTTATGAGACCAGGTACAGTCTGTCTGCATGAGGAAAAAAGCACACTAGGGTCTCTTGCCTCAAGATCAAAAAAACCCTGATTTATTTCTCATTTATCTCCTTCATTAAAGGAAAAATTATTCCTTGGTATGAAGCAACTTCTAAGCACCTTTCTGGACCCCCAGCCTGTGCAGTGTCATTTCCCAACCAACACATGTTGTATCAATAAATAGGCCACGAAGGACGGTGCTTTTGCTCTCGGGCAGAACAGGGCCCAGCTCTCTCCGCACGCCACAGCAGGCTGGCCGGAGTCACCAGCTCCGCGCAGCACCGGTGTCCCTGTCCCACCGTCCGACATCCCGGGCTGCCAGGTGAGCACGGTGCTGGCTCCACAGTTTGGGTTTTATGGTCCAGATCTCAAATCCATTCAAGTCATGACTACGGTCTGCTTTGAATCAGGTTCAGAAGGCCTAATTGTGCAGAGGTTTAAAAATACGCTTAACTGTAAACACATGAGTAGTCCCACTGAGGTCAAACATCAAGTTCGGCACATTCAAAAGTCTTTTGAGAAGCCAGTATAAGCACGTGATTTGTAAACACTCTGCATTATGGGACACAATACTTAACAACACTTTTTGCCCCAACTTGCTACTGTGCCGACGTTGTATAATCCATGCACCATTATGACTCAAAATTTAAGACTCAGGAGTCCAGTTTCTTTCATGCAGGTATTAGTAAACCCATGCAGCGTCCCTCTGACACTCGTAGGATCACAGCCTTCCTACCGCAGCTTTGCTTTTGAACTACATACATGATGGAGCAGATTTAGGTTTCAGAGACTGGTTTATGCGGTATCTCTGTAGCCCAATAAACACAGGAGAACAGAGGAGATAAACCCCTGAAAAGCAAATGTAAATATTATTATTTAGTCTATATTAATATTTATGGAATTAAAGAAAGAAAGAGCCTGCTCTTAATTGTATGGGTATAAATGAAGAACGACAACATTGTACAGCAACCCCTTATTAAACTATCACATAGAAGTAACAACTAAACAAAGTTGGGGGATATTGCAGCCTGCCGTAGCTACTGTAGTTACTAAAACCGCAAGGGAAGAACAAAGAACCACATACCTTATACGTTAAATTAGACATTCAGGTTAACTATCTGTTCCTTTCAAACACCTGCAGAGGAGGAGACGAGCAGCGCTGCTGTCCCACCCCGTGCCACCAGCACGGCGCAGGGGCAAGGCTGGCGCACGCCCCGGCAAAGCGCTCAAGAAGGCACACGTCCCTCGCTCCCGGCCCCGTTGCGGGAACACCCAGCGCCAGATCAATGGGGATGACTAACGAAAAGGGCATTTTGTCTTCCAGCGTCATTTGACAGCTCGCTCTCCTCGCACAGAAGAGGAGCATCCACCGCACCGGAGCTCGGGCTACGGAGCCGGTGGATGGGGCTTTCTCTACCTGCAGAAGATGCCAAAGCCAGGAGGGCCTGCGCTGTCTTCCCCGACTGCATCCCGCAGGGAGCCGGGGGCTGGGGACATCGCTCCTGCTGCTATGGCAACCGACGGCGGCATCCCACGCACCATCACACCCCCCCACACCACCCGAAACGTGGGCAGGAAGAAAAGGTACAGACCGTGGATCAGCGTAAACCCTCAATGGAGAGTGCTGGGAGGAGGGATTGTTCTAGGATGTCTTTTCAATAGTGCAAAAGCCCTTTTTCGAAGGAATTCTGACAAAATTTCAGAGCTGAAACGCCATGAGACAGGTGATTATTCAACCATCCACGGCACCGAACCAAACAAACTGCAACCCGCTTCTGATCCTCACTAGACCACCCCAGAAACAAGATGGGATCTGTTTCAGTGGGTATCACTATAAATATTCCCCAGAGACACAACCCTGCGTCGGTCAGTAAGGATGAGTCAGCTCCGCTTCGTTTTCAGAAAATTTTGTTACTTTTTTTTTTTTTAACAAATGCCCAAAGACTGAATGAGTCTTTCACCCTCCAGCCAGAGTTGTTCCCAGCCAGGGCTGTGACGAGGCAGAATGGAGGCACTCGCACCGCTGCTGCTGCAGCTGCACACCGCTCCCTGCTTGGTTCAGGAGGGGAAAACCGAGTCCTCCAGATTTTTAAACTGACATTATTCCTCCCCCGAGTAAAGAGCTATTTTTTGAGAATTAGCAGAATAAAAACGAAACAAAAATCAGCTTGACTGCTTGGGGTGGGGTTTGGGGTTTTGGTGCACATCGGGATGAATTTGCCAACCCGCAAAAAAGATGCCAGGGGCGTGGACGAGCGAGGTGGAAGGGACGTCAGCGCTACAACGGTGCTAAATCCGGGCAGGTGCGGCCGCCCGCGACCTTTGCTCCCCCGGGAACGTGCAAAACGATCCCCGCTTGCGGAAGCCAAGAAACCTTCACCCACCCACCTCCGTGGCCGAACGGCCTTTAAATCCCCATCACGGGACCAGCGTCCGGATGGACCCGTGCTCGACCTCCCGGGGAACAGCCGACGGCGTCGCGCGAAGACGGGCGCGTGTCGGCACCCGCTACCACCGCCGCCTCGCCGCCCTCCGTCACCCCCAAAAACAGGCCCTAATTTCATAACGCCCGGCATTACGTAAGAAAACAGTTATTCCCCTGCTCC